ATGTAACATAACAGCCATGGCCAAGAGGAAGTTTATCTTAGGCCTACATGTGTTAACATTTTAACTTGGATTGCAGAGTCATTATGCCTGATTATGACGTCGACCCATACGGTATAAGAAGCCCATTGTTAAATTATAGAGGTAAAACTATAGGTTATCTTGCAGTACGTTTATGGGTTCGTCAATAATATTCGAAAGCCTACTTATTTTTGACAGTAAACAGCAATAAAACTAAGCGCCTATTAAATTTTAAAAATAAGAGAAATTGAAAACAGCTGCAGAAGAATACCATAAAAGAACAGAAAAACATATTTCGAATGTCCTACAAATAGTTCAAGTATAGGACTCATATGCCGCCAAGTTTTATCTTTGTTTTCTTCTAGTCTGATCATTATGTTACGTCAACAGTTTCTTTTTAGTCTGAGAGATGAGTCGATTTACTGTAGCTTACCATTTATAGTCTTAATATGGACATACCTTGGTACACCTGATACACCACACCAAGTCTTAAGTGTTGTGAGCTGTGCGCTTTGAGGTCAATGACCTACTTTTTTTAACCAAATCTGACCAATATCTATATTTTAGGGCACAGCATTTTATAACATGCTTCAAAATTATTGGACTTAGGCTCATTTTAGAGCTAAAGGAATCATACTAAATAGTGATTATTATAACTAAAACTGATTTTGGTAATTATTTTCCAAAATATTAAGGAAAACTCCATATTTTTACAATTTTTAGGTTAAATTTCATACAGTATTTCTATTTTGATTAATTACCAATATGTTAATTACAAATACTTCAGATTTTTGTCAAAACAACTTTAAAAACTGCCTCTGCTACATAGGATCATATACCAAAAAGAATTTTGATTTTCCTTCACACACTACAGGTTTTAATGAGAAAATAGTGATTTTCACTCATTTTTGGTTAAAAAATTACAAAAAACGCTATCTCGAAAACCGGGGGTCGTTAATTCTATTTCTAAATTTAAAAAATACTCCGAAATAATGTACCAGGGCTTGCAGAACTCCTAGAGAATTCGAATTAAATTAATATGTTACTGTATTGTTTGATATTCAAATATCCCGACTACTACAATGCATGGTGGCGCCAACACTTTCTCACCTCTCCCAACCCCTCTCCCTGTGACTCATGGTTACGCCACTGTGATCATTATCACGATAATCATCATCAAAATCGTCTTCGTCATCATACTCATCGTAGTCGTCATGGTCGGTATCGTTGTTATAAACCACCATCATCATTAGTAAAACATGCTGTATGCTTTTGTTGGCTGTTATGGTATTGTACTGTATATTTTGTGTGTATTTTTTGTGATATGCATTGTGTTTGCTCAGGAAAACTAATTTATATAAATTTATTATTGCAATAAATGGAATCATGACTCTCTTGCTCTTATATGTCAATTGCTCATTTAAATATGGTCAGTGTATTTAAATCAAAATGGGGGGGGGGTCTTTAAATTGACAAGTTTTCAATTTAAAGCTAATAACTTGTATGTAATTGCACAGTGGACCTCTCCAGGCTTACAGGCCCACAGGAATTTTTTCATGCATTAATCTATCCTTTGTATAATAATTTCTACTAGTGTATGATATGCAACTTTAATAATGGCTTATTATTACAGGGCACACACATCTGAAAGCTAAAATCGTACTTGCATATTAAAAATGAGCAATTAAAATATTTTATTTTATTTATCAAGTTTGTTTTTTTAGCTTATATCACAGACAGCTTGATAGTTTTATTTTCATACCATGAAGCAAAATCATCTGCCAAGAATAACCAACACATATTCACAATAATCCATAATTCCGTAACACTCTTTATTTATATCAGTGTAAAACAAACAAAACAATGAAAGCATTAATCAAGGGTATACTCACAGAGGTATAGTATAATACAATTAGTTGGTTAACAGATTTGATATAGGCCTACTTGTATTACACAGTACAACACTTAATAATATGAATTCAAAATAATAATAATTATTAATTGATATTATCATGCATATTTAATCAAATGTTTGGGGCGACAAACAGTTTACTAAACTAAATTACAAGACATGTATAACACTGTTTATAAATGCTGAATACTACTGGTATTATCAAGTACTACCAACTGAAAAATCAATAAACAATAATTGTATTCTCATATAAGTACGGCATTTACTGCATCTTGTATTTTACCTAATGATATTTCTTAATTCTAGACCATAAAGCTTACTACCATACTGAAGAAAGCAATCATATGAATGATTCACAGATACGAAAGTCATTCAGTATTTAATCTTTGACATTAACAGATTACTGCAATATTGATTAAATCAATTTAGCTTGACAGCCCACTTATTCATAAATGATATTCCTATCTCTAATCTGTATTACGTTGTATGTTAACACCACTTCGTTGACTATAATTTCTAAAATAAAAACCACGTAGAAACTGTAAAATGTTTGGTCATCCCCTCCCTACTTCAGAAAAAGCCCAGTAGACACGAGTGCATTGCAAGATAGGTACATAGCTGTGCCCGATTGTTTCCTGATTAATTTAGGGTTGAATAAACACCTCCCTCTCTTCCATACTCAAAATTGTTGGGGGATAACAAAAATGGAGAACCAACCATCTTTTTACATGGTCAAATAAGGATACATTTTTTTAACAACAAAAATAATTACTGTATACACTTTTATTGTTTAAGCCTATCAATAGTTACTTGCTCTTCACTTGATTTTTACAATGATTAAATCATAAAATCAATGGTTTAATTTTTACACAAAAATAAATGAATACACACAAAACTCTGATATATTGACAAAAATAATCTTTGATTATAAGAAAAAAATTGAAGAGGTGGGTGAAAACAACTCTTTCAATGCAGTATCATTAATTGGAAAAAAAATATATAAATAAAAATAACAATATAATTACATTGCACAATTAATATAAAAAATACATAAATCACACAGCAATATAATATCTCTTTCCATTCAATCCCTATCACTAAAAATAAAATTTCAAACTTGTTAACAGACTATCCCCTTCTATTCAACATTGATTTTTCTTGCCCCTTTTAACATATTCTTCACACTCTTGAATACTGTAAAATTTCTGCCGAAACTGCAAATTAATTCCCTCTTCCCATTTGCTTGACAAATTTAATAATCTCCACCACAAACAGCAAATTATCCACTCATTTCCATCCACTACAATTTACCACAATCTACACGATGACAACAAAATATTTCCCTGCCACACTTGAATATGTGAATAATCTTTACCCTTTAAGCAAATTATTCTTCCTTTACCCTGTAACTGACCATTTGACCCACCCTGACAGCAAATTTTTCGACCCTTTTTGAACATCGGAAAAATATCTACCATCAATATTTTTCATGTGACGCATTCTACCACTAACTATTTAACTATTCGAATAATCTTCACACAGACAACACAATACTCTTATCTACCATTCAGCTCTTACATTACTAATAATTATTGCTAGGCCTAGACTGAAGCACCAATCATGAGCGTTGTGATACACATAGCCAATCGTGAAGTAAATGTGCCATCAGCCTAAGTATTAATGCATCAGTCTAAATGTCTGTATATTCATTGGCATAAATGTATATAACTCATCAGTTAAGTGTTTACTACCATATATAAACTATCAAGACAATGTCTATATAAACTCATTAATCAAAATGTCTATATTTAAATCTTTTTTAATTGTTGCTGCAAGTTTTAAAAAAAAACAAAAACAAAAAAACAACATTTTCATTTTCAATGCCTCGATGTACAGTATATTTTCTCCGTTTTTCAAAGTTAAAATTCTTAAATAATTGCACTGTTGCTATATAAGAAATTAAGGTGAATTAAAGGATCAAGCCTGCTGTGGTGGTAATTACTGCTAAACCTGTATTAGGTGCTAATTACTTTATGATAGAGCCACTTTCTATGGAATGACGTTATTTTGTTCCTACATTATTGTATGTTGAAACCCTGTTTATTTGATGTTATTTTGTTCCTACATTATTGTATGTTGAAACCCTGTTTATTTGATGTTATTTTGTTCCTACATTATTGTATGTTCAAACCCTGTTTAAAGCTACATGTATTTCATGATCCGAAGCTGCTGGGGTGAAGCAAGACTAAAATTTAAAGTGAGTATTTGGTTTGCAGTACCAATGGAATACTTGACATCTCTACAATGCAGCACCAACACAAATACAGTATATCAAATTATTGAATTTTAGCATTAACAAATATAATAATAATAAAATAATAATAATGATGATTATAATAATAATAACAATTAATAATAATAATAATAATAAAAATAATAATATAATACAGTACAGTATACTGTATTGCTGAGCTGACATCAATACAGTATTAGGCATTATCAAGACACACCCCATACCCACATTTATACACCAAATGCCAAAGCAAATACAGTAGATTATCTTATCTTTGAGTCCTGACATTACTGAAAATAAAAGAATTTACCTTGCACATCATCAACGCATTAAAACAGGAGTGTTTACTGTAATACACTCGATACAAATAAAGCATAAATATTATCGTTTACAAGGTACAAGCCAATGAAGTTGATCAACAAGAGTTTGTATTGTAATGTTTGTAAATGTTTACCTGCTTACCGATGGAGAAAGTGAATTTTACTTTTAAATATTGAACACTAAAATACAAGATACAGTACTATTACTGTTATTCAGCATTTACAATTATTATAAATTGCATTTAATCACTATCATGATGTTATATAGATCAATAACACCAAATCACATTCAGTTTGACCTTTGACTTTAAGGTTCAATCTAATAAGCCATTTGTTGTTTGAACTGAGCATGGCAATACTATAAATCTATAAAATGAAATAAGCACCACAGAGCTTATAACATTTTTGGAGGTTTTAGTGTAGTGCGTATTCGAAAGCAGCTCTTATCCAAGAGCAGCCCTTATTCGAGAATGGCGCTTATTAAAAATATATTGGCATGGCACTTTCCTTGCCCATTCCTATAATGTATCATAGACCTTACATCATCGTAAAGAAACGTTTATAAAGATATGCTTGTGTCTTCATTGATTTATTTATTCATTTGAACACTATATACATTGTATTTAAAACACTGTTTCTCAAAGTGTTTAATTACACACAGGATGTACTCTCGATTAAGTGCTGCGGCACTTCTTGAAAAAAAAAAATCATGTTTGGTGCAGCGCTTATTAGAGAGCAACACTAATTCAAGGACTTATGTCAACTGACTTCCATACAGGCAATCTACGAATCGGCTTATTGTCATGTCGTACTAGTATTTGCCATCATGCATTATTCTAACTTTTATTATGCTTCTGAATAAATATCTTTCTGTTTAATTATTATTCTGTATACAATATAGTACATACAAAATTATTATAAGGAATTCAATTACTACATTATATCAACATGTTTTAAAATGATTTTCTTTTAAAATGTTTAACCTTGTACAATGTGTTCCATTATTTATATTAGAACTTTTGACATGGATGGAATAATTTAGACAAAAATAACTAATCGCATGTTTAATTTTTTATGTTCCTGTTGCATGGTCATATTATAAACGTTGCAAATATTTTTTCGACTGTTAAAAATTTAGTCTTGGATTGATAATGCTGTATTTTTAAATCATGAACTGTAAACAGATTAGAATTTTAATATAATTTAACATCAAAATAACACCAAGTCAGGTCTCAGATTCATGGAGACTGTCAGCGGGTAAAATTTTAAAAAATTATAATTTTTTTCTGAAATATCCAATATTTCACAGAGGCATGTGTGTTAAACAGGAGAAAATAGAATTTTATTTTTATTTAAAAATCACCATTTTCGGTTGGTGATGGGTATGCAAAACAAGGTTAGGTATATAAATTCTTGCTGAAACAACAAATACAGTATTGTATGTTCGTTCTAGGTCATATTTTTGTTTAAAATTATTACTGCGATTTATCGGCTCTCAAAAAACACATTACATTCCAAGATAAACACCCCTTAAATTGTTTGAGGTTACTCGGTAGGTTAAAACACCAATGTGCTTATTACAAGCCACAATATTATGGCATTTTTTTCAAGGGAGCTAGTATGTGTATGTGAGCTGGATAGAGTGACCAAGGTAATACTGTAATGTGGAGCAAATATAGTCATTGTTGGCATGTGTGCTTTATAAATCCGACATTTTTATGTTACAGTACAAAACACCTTAATGGTGGATAACTGCAATTCCTAATTGTTATACCGACAGGAATAGAATATGCATTGAATCAAAACAAAAATAAAATATGTATACAGTAAAATAAACTGAATAAACTTGTATAGACATTGACTATTTTCAAATCCTCACCACAGACACTTTGCGTCATACAAGACTAGTTGATTTACTCTCGTAGGGAACATCAGATATAGTTTCTGGGGTATTAACTGTGACTCCGGCAAGTTGGTAGCTGTCGTTCAATCCAGGTGTTGCTGAAATCCTGGATGAGATGTTAGGTGATTTGTGAGATATTGTAATTCCTGGTAGATCATGGATTTGCCCAATACTACAAAAAAAAAAATAATTTGTTTTATCACCTTACTTGCTTTAATTTATTAGGATATATTGTACTACCAGCCTCATTTAAAGATTAAAGATGTGAGTAATCATATTCCACCAACACACATTTGGTAGCTTGCTTTCTGTACCACAAACATATTTTATCCGAAAATTTTACTGGTATATTTTCAACAAGAGAGAACTATTTCAATTAACATAGGCCCAGGCCTAGACAAAACCCTACATCATGCTACCCAAAGCCAGATAAATGTAGTCAACAATCCAGCCACTTAGAATGGATTTGATTGGTCAGTTATTAAAGTTTTAAAAAATTGTTTTAAAAACCACAAAAACCACCAACAACTTGGTTTAAAAAAAATAAATAAATAAATAAGTGTAATGAATAGAAAGGACAATTACTCATAAAATTTGTATGAAACTTTTTTAATTATCTGAACACCTTAAAGTTATACAACATTGAAATTTTTAACATAGAAATAGCCTAAAACGACGTTCCCCACAGTAATTATGAAAATCCCTGAACAACTTTTTAATACTGGCCAGTATTACAGCATGTACTATACACAACCTGGGATACATAGAGTTAAAACTATGGGAGAATTAACGTTTTTTGTGAATTAAAAAAATGACTTCCGCTGACCACTGAAATTAATAAGGTAATAATAAGCAAATTTATAATTTTACACACAGTATTGTGGTCTCCCATACACAGTAATTTTCCTTTTTAAAATTTTGTATGGTGAGAAAGCTAGGGAAAAACAAAACACCAATGTGTTCTGGTGTTGGTATACAGAATTGTTTTAACTACAGCCTAAAATGGACAGTTATTAGAATTTTAAAAATTGGAATTGGCAGGTACATTGTATGAGCTATGAAAATCAGAAAATTTTAGCAGTCATTTACAGGGGACAAGTGGCCCTGCTTCCCTCTGGACAAGTCACTGCCTACCTTGATGTTTCTTCTATTTTCTTGAAACTACTTGTGTGCTGTTGCAGCTGCTGGTCAATGCGGTTCAAGAAATCCATTGGGTTGTCTTTGATGACGTTCTCTTTGGTCTCGTTGCTTGCATCATCTTCTTTTTCATCGTCTGTACCTTCATGTGATTTGCTGCAGGCATGGCTACCATTCGTGTCTGCGGTGGCTGTTTGTAAGACATGAGCCGGTAGCGGTACATCACCTACAGGAACGTTCAATGTTGGCCTAAGAAAAATACTGTCATTTGTGTAAAGCTTATTCACCCGTTTAATGTGCTGAACCTGAGAATTAAACAGAAGGAAGTTTGTTAAAGACGAAATGGCTATCTATATTAATGGTGCATTTTCAAATGATGTTTTCCTGTAAAGTAGGATAATTAAGCTTTCAGAAACCACTTATTTTTACTCTGTTTATACTAAGACAATTTGTAATTTAGGGAATTTTAATGGTTGAAAGCATCCTAAAATTGCATTTCATTTTTTATCTCATGTGTTATAATACGCATATTGTAAATGGTTTAAAATATCAATGCTAATACACATGTTATTACAATCCAGATATAATTGCTTAATATAAATATTTTTAATGTATATTATAGTTTTCATATGAAAATGTTCCATCTGTCACGAAAAAATGTAAACAAGTTGTACAGTTTTTATATTTATATATACTTTTTGTCCCAAGTTTTATTCCTATTTTCTATAATGTTGACCTCACATAAAACCCAAAATTACATGTATATCTGGTTTTTTTTTCATTGAAATATGACATACTGTAAAACTTCGACTTGTTTTTCAACAGGCTTCTAAAAAATAAAATGTGTATCAATTGTCCCGGCTGTGATGCTGGAGCTAGCCTATTGTCCCGCAAAAATAACAAAAAATAATTTTGAAATTAACTTCCTCATATTGCAGTAACATATTAACTTGAGCACAGAAAATATTGAATTTAAAAAATGTGCACCCTGATTTTTTTTTTTGGATAATGATAAGGGGGAGGGGAGGTTTTCATTTTCATTTCATTTCTTTAGGCACGAGCGCCAAGGATATGCCAATCAGCAAAGTTAATCACTATCCTAGGTGGCATATCCATTAAACAACTCTTCTCGAAGGATGTACTGGGTTTTTTTAAGTGCACACAGGACAAATGCGTACATTGGGCCTACGGTTTAAAGTCCTAGTCCGAGAAGACTTGTTCCACCACGAGAACCATTGGCGAGTGAGCCGTTTGAACCAGCGCCGATACTGTAGCTGAAGGTTACGGTGCCCTGACTTAACCGCTCGGCCAATCAACTCGCCGGGTGTATGTATTTATATAGGGGAATTTGTCTACTGATGATAAACACAAAATAATCAATTTTTTTTAACCTCTTTTTTAACGAGTGTCCAGACAGCATATCCGTGTTGCAACTGCATTTTTGCGAAAATCGGTTTTTGCGGCGGAAATGATGTCACCATTTTGTTTATACAACACATTTTCCAATCCGTAGTTTCTTTCTCACCAACAAGACAATGTATTTCATGTGAAGTCCAGTTATGATGACGAGGAGAATACGGTGTGCGGCAAGAAAGTGTATGCTTTCGACTGTGCTCATCGGCACAATGGACGAGCGAACAAACAAGGACAACAGTAGGCCGAGAAGAGAGGAGAGACCTAGGCTAGCCCAGGTCCAATATCCCCCCATAAAATTATTAAAAAATGATTAACTTTGTCGCTCCACATGTTTGTGTTGCAGCCAAAAAGTGCACAGCCAAAATTGGTTGTTTGGTGTTCAAACATTGCATGTTTTTAATCAATTTTTTTTAATTGCCTTTTTCGAGGAGGCCCCTAGCTAGGCCTAGACCTACAGGAAAATCCTAAAAATTGTCGAAAGAGAGTTCCAAAAAAAAAGAACTACGGTAATTCAATTTAATCTGCATTGAGCAATATGCATACCGGAAAAAACACTCTACGATATCATGTCCACATAGGGTTGTTGAAGACTGGCTAGAAGCTCTAAATGAAAGTGAAAGTGTTGGTGCATTGTTTCCTTGATGTGTCCAAGTGTTACACCATGATGTACTATTGTTTAAGTCACCAAAAATAAGGTTTTCAAGAAAATGAATTAAAATGGTTCAAAAGCTAACAGTATTTATCAAATCGCAAACACATTGTATTGTAGATAGATTGATAGATAGAAATCTTTCTTTACTCTGGATACTCAGTCAGTATTGTTACACTGTTCTTCCCTGAGGTCCAGGGTATTATCTTAAACTATATTATATTACAAAATAAAATAAAAATAAAAAATCTATAAGAAAACCAAATTAATGTTGGTGTACCCTAAGGAAGCATTCTAAGCCCAATATGATTTATTCTGTTTATTAATGATATACCTCAGGTTGTTGAGAATGTCTCAATAAGGATATTTGCAGACGATGATGTTATTTATGCATCTATTCAACAGTAGTATGAATACTGATGTTAGTTAACTTTCAACTACAAAGTGTTATGAATAGAGTTGCTGAATGGTATGACGAAAATAAACTTTCCGTTAACGCACAAAAGAGTAAATGTATGTTGATAAATAGTATTATAAGGAACCTCATAAATGGAAGAATGTTGGAAGAGGTCAAACTGACTTTGAATGAACACATTGTTCATTTAAAACTAAATCACTAGGCTTTAAAGTTACATGCTTAAGTGAACTATGTAATGTTCTAAATCAAAACCTTTTAGAAAATCTGTACAAAACTACAATCCAACCTTGTCTTGACTATGGATGCTCTGTATGGGGAAATACTTACTGTATGTAAAAAAAAAACAATATTTTAAAATAAAAAAATTGGTTATATTAAGTATAGTGATGAGCAAATTATTGAAGAACTGATGTGGCACAAAATAGAAAATAGATGTGATTACTATTTAAATTGTCTATAAAATAGTACCAGCAATGGCTAATACTGTAAAAATGAATCAATCATTTATTATTTATATTTAAGATCTCTGGAACACGGTGTTGGAATGAGTTCCCAAATTTTGAAAGAGGCTGGAATAATCAAGGCTTCATTTAATTTTTTAAACACTGAATTACTGTACTATACTTTAATACGGCAATTACACAATTTTATTACTACGGTAGCTGCGTGGAGAAGTGATCTAATTCTTAACTTGTTTTTATATCTGTAGATTTGTTAATACAATTTACAATCTTCATCAAATTTTAAAACATACTTTTTGACATTTTTCGAATCACTTTCTTTGTTGGTAACTTCAAGTATTGTAGGCCTATTCATTCGTTCTTGTTAAAATTAATAATTTTTATCTTTCATTAATATTTTAATTGTTGTTTTAATGAGGACCATTTGGTAGATAATTTTAGTACGCTTTGTCAAGTTTATTATTATTGTACATTTACTTTCATTCCAATGTATCCTGAATAAATATGTTTTAAAAAAATAAATAAAAATAACAGAATACTTCCAGTGACTGGAAGTGTTTCTATCATATTTTATATTTTATTTACTCAATATGTTCCAAAAGAGGATTGTTCTCCTGTAGCAAACTGAAAAAAAAAAAATGTTAAGGTCAAACATGAAGGTCTGGGATCACCGCCGTCTGGAGTGCCCCTTTCTCTTTCTTACAATATATGGCATTTAGGCCACAATATGGTAGGGGCTTTTTGAGTGCTCTCTTTTCCCTTCCCAGCAATATTCAAATGTATAAGTTGAGTATCAATAAAATGATTTTCTACGCAAAATATTGCCATGGGCTCTTTTTCTTGCTTTCTTCCTGTTTAGTCGGGGTTTTTAAAAATATTTTTATTTTTTTAATGTTTAATCACTTTTTTTTTCACACATCCATCACAAATTGTTTAAATGCCTCATTTTGTCAGTATTTTAAAGTTTTATTTATTTGAATGTTTGCTGCTTTATTTGACTGTTTCCCCCAATCCTTTTATTATGGAATTTGTATGTTGTTATATTTTCATTAATAGGCCTATTATTATTATTTTTATTATTGTTATTGATGTTTTTTTTGTGTGTTTTTTTACTTTTATGACATAAACTGTTTTAGCCTCATTTTGTTTGTATTTTAAAGTTTTATTTATTTATTTGGTTTATTGCCGTTTTGGTTTATTGCTGTTTTGACTTATTGCCATTCTTAAAGTGTTGTCGTTTTGGTTTATTGCCCATTTTATTTATTGTCGTTTTAGTTTATTGCCATTCTGACTAGAAAGCGGCCGGGAGACATCCCTGTCAGATAGGCTAGCTAGGCATGGATGACAAAGCATAAGCCCATGCCTAGCCTCCCCTACGTAGGCCTACTACTAGGTTCATACATGCCAACACTCCTGATTTGATCAGGAGACTCCTGATTTTGAGACTTGTCTCCTAATTGAAAATTGTTCTCCTGATTTTCCCTGGCAGCTTCTCCTGATTTAACAATGAATTAAATTACTTTAGCCTAATTTAAATTTTACAAATTAATAGTAATTAGTTAAATATGTAAATCATTTTTTCTCTCTAAAAAGAAAGATTCCCAGTGGCTCTGCCACAGCTTTAGGGGGATTCCCCACAGACCCGACCTAATGAAACCTACACCTGGCTTAGCCTTCTTAGTTAGCCTCCCACTGTCAGTTGGCGCGTAGTGCTTTTTATCCTGATTTTTTTTACTCAAAGGTTGGCATGTATGTAGGCCTAGGGTAGGCCTAACCTAGGTCTAGCTAGCTAGGCCTAGCCTAGGCCTAGTAGTTGGAATACCTAGGCCTAGGCCTAGCCTAGGGCCTAGATTCTAAGAATAAGTTTGTTGTGACATCCCAGTCTTTCGAAAAAATAGTATCCTGGCGAGACCACTGCCGCGGTTGCGTCAGATACCAGGATGCACTCTAATGAGGTAGTCTAGGCCTACTTATTATTAGGTACATGAAATCTAGGCTAGGTCTACATCTTCCATATTAAGCTAGGCCTAAGGGCCTAGCCCATTAAAGCGAAATACATGCTCACTCAGGGTGGGCGGCGTGTTTAGAAATGCCGATCGAACTTACCGTTGTCCCGTACTTTAACGCTATTCCTTGCAGGGTGTCCCCGGGAGAAACCGTATGCTTAATGTAAGTTTCTTGTGTAGCAATTGAAGTCCGTGTACTTCCATATGAACGTCCGTAAGATTTGTTAGTGTTTGATCCAAAAATTGATGTTTTTCCACCCTTACCACCGGGTTTTACTTTCTTATCGGGACTTGACGCCATTTCTTCTGCATAAAATGATAGGTTGGCAGGTAGCGACGACGTTTTATTGGCCCCGTTTATCGTAGCTTGTGTTTCTGGCAAACGTCATTAATAACATCAACAAAACAAACGATAACATCAATTAACATTAAGGATAACAGTAATAAAATATCAATAATAATAATAATAATAATAATAATAATAATAATAATAATAATAATAATAATAATAATAATAATAATAATAATAATAATAATAATAATAATAATAATAATAATAATAATATAATAATAATAATGATAATAATGATAATGATAATGATAATAATAATACTAATAATAATAATAATAATAATAATAATAATAATAATAATAATAATAATAATAATAATAATAATAATGAATATAAATTAATTTAGATTAAAAATGTATATTATAGGCCTATATACATATATAAATGAGGTAAAAAAAAAACAATCAATGGCATAATATCATTCTTAATTTACAAAATGAATTAATTTAAAATAAACTGAATATAGGATAGGCCTAAATGATTAAAGATAACTTTAAAAGTTACAATCAAAGATGCAAAATAATTAAACAGGGTCAAATAACCAAAAAAAATATCTCTTAAAAACATTGAATAGACCTAAAGTCAGATTTGAATTGAAAATTTGAGTCAATCTAACAGTCCACTACTCATCAACACAGTATACTTTTGTTCCCGTTCCATTTCTACTGCAAGCTTAATAAATATAGAAAGTACAGAAATCAATTAAAGTACTAAATTATATTTTTAGTAGTTTTATGTAGCTCATTAATGCAGAAAGAAAAATCCTAGCTTTGCTAAAGAAATTCAACGGTTTCCTTTGCTTTCAAGTATGTTGCCTTTCTGAGTAGAAATTTAAAACAAATTACTGAAAACAACAAAATCTATGGGAACGAATGTTACTAATAATAACAACATTACGGTAATTTATACTACATTTATCATTACACTGGCACTTACACTTAGGATTGATGGGATTAATTTATAGGTTAAAGCATTTTAAGAACCCCGTTTTCTTTCCAATGTTGGCCTAGTCTGCACCTTCTTAATTGCTAAATTCTTCTCAATTGCACTCTGTACTTTTTATAACTGAGTAATATAGACTAGTGGTACAGTATAGCTGGTTTAATCTCCTATATGATAATATAGGCCTAATTATATTATAATTTTATTACAATATTGCTTATAGCAATCCCGTTATAATTGGCGACTTTGGTTGGTTTTGTTGTAGGACTAATTACAGTATATTTACAAATGTTTATTTTGTAGGTCGGTGAGTGACCCTTATTTGGATAGATACAAATGTTAAAAGATTTTAATATAACGAAAAGAGCTATAGGTGTCTTCCTCTAATAGAGTACCCTTCTCAATTTAAAGAACAAAGTCCAAAATTTTAACATTAAATGATAAATTTTGGCCTAAATAAATAGGCCAAAATTTTAGGTTTATTTATTTTTCTTCCGATAAGGATCATGATAAACCCAGTCAATGTGAGTAGGTGGATCTCTTGATGGATGATGGATGAATGAACAAATAAATGGATTTATCGAATGAAAAGGAAGGAATAACGAACGATTAGTGTAGATAGAGCAAAAAACCATGTGGCTCACGCGAACAGCGAGCTTATACATTATTTTTTGGATAGAGCGACCTCTACAGACCCACTGCAAGAAATATAAAGGAAGGTTGGATAGTTGATTCTTTGCTGATTCTTTGTGTTGTAGCCGAGGAAATTATAACAAAAACAGAGGTTCTTTATTAAGGTGATAATGAATTATCAGCTTTACAGGACGACCACGCTTGGCAACTGTCTTAGCGAGAGCCTAGATGAGCTTATTCAGGTAAAATGTATCCTAGGACTCAACCTAAGCCTGGTTCTAGGCTTTTTAAGGGCCAGGCCGAGATTGTTTCGTGTCCGTTCGTGCCGCGGCCGAAATTGCCCTTACCAACTAAAGCCCTAGGGCCTAGCTATTCTAGCTTAGGCCTAACTACCGCCCTTATTTGATTGATCCGGTTTTACAAGATTTGTATTTAATCCAAGTAGAAAACTTGGCTAGAGGGCTAGGGCATCAATAGGGTTTGGCTCGGGTCCCTTGGCTAGCCTACTAATTTAGGGTACATAGAAAAATTTAGATCATCACTTAAAAAAAAAAAAAAAAATTAATGAGGGAGGGGTTTTTTTTTTTTTTAATCGGAACAATAGATTATTTCGCTTTTGTTTTTATCGATGAGGGAGGGACTGTTTATATTTGGGCTGTAATAGTAAATATTGTATAAAAATTGGTTTAATTTTATAGTTTCCTAAAGAAATTGTATTTGAAGTCACAAAATTGCATTGAATATTTTTATGCTGTTGAAATAATTGATGCTGCAAAAAAATGAAAAAATTTTGTCCATTCAATATTTCCTGAATTTGTGACGTGGGTGGGAGTGATAATCTAATAAATTTTTCTATTTGCCCTTAGGCCTAGCCTAGTTAGGGCCTATTTGTTTTACAGAATTCATTTTTTGCAAAAAAAATTAAATTCTTGTTTAATTCGGTGAGACTTATTCCTTGTTTCGCATACATATTTTTTAAAATATCATCGGAGAAGGGCGGAATAAAACTGAAAATAAACTTTTGTTTTCTTAATTAGCAAATATTTTTGCCAAAAACATCCAAATGGAAGAAAAAAATAAAATTTTATTGGTGAACAGGGCTCGAAATTCACACTAGTTAATATTTTTGTTATAATTTGCTAGGTAATCATTCACAAATTAGCAAATAAAATAAAAAATAATTGCTAGTTGGAATATCGATACGTGTGCACTAACTGGCCAAAAATAAAATTTTATTTTTATTTAAAAAAAATAAATATTTGCAGTCGGTGGATTCGCTAAACAAGGTATAAAAAAAAGTCTCGCCCTACTACAGTATTAATGAATATTGTATTTATTAATAGCTTTTGTTAATTTTATGCTATTTATTACCTTTTTTACTGGCAGTCCCAGCACATAACACCTCAGCTGGCCTTAACAGTACTTCAAAAGTTTGACAAAGCTATTAATATATCTCTCAACAGTAAGACGAGGAGTAAAGTCAATTTCAAGGTAATGCAATTTAATATTGAATTATTAATATGCAGCACTAACCTGCTTTCTTACTTCAGGGCCCATTAGTCCACTGTTTAACACAACTCTTCTATATATAAAACAGGCCCGTATCCAGGGAGGGTTTTTATGGTTTGGGAGAACCCCCTTTTCTAGCAAACCCCCCTCTTTTATGGATGGCGAACCCCCACTTCAAATTTCCCAAATAAGTCTTCCAACCCAACTAATGCACTGCAGACCCACCCAGACACAGACGTTTTCAAACATATCTGTTTTTATAGCATTATTTAGACCCATAAAGCACAAAAATTTTCTTGCTTTGGGGGTTTTGCCGACCCCACTGGGGCTTCGACCGTGGATCTCCTGCCCAGAAAACCCCCCCCCCCCTTGGAAGGACCTGGCTACGGGCCTGTAAAATCTTAAAATCTTAGTGTCAGGTTGTCTGTCCACCTTGTTTCTGTATTTCATATTGTTTGTTTCTCTGGGTATCCATTCAGTTATTCTTCCAGTCCATGTGTTGTTCTTACCACATGCCATGCCCATCTCCAAATTTTGTTGGTTTATGCTTATTAACTACAAACGTGGTGAAATTCTTCCAGTGGATTTGGAACCCATTAAGTTTGAAGACTTACTATCTTGATTGATTTTATATTTTCTGTTTAATGTGTCAATTTTATTTTATTTTTTTTTTCATTTTGTTTAATTACTGTTTTCATTTAAATTATTATTTTTTTTTTTCATTTTTCTATTATAATATAAATAATTTGTTTATCTTAAACCTTTAAATCTTAGTGTCAGGTTGTCTGTCCACCTATGTTTCTGTATTTCATATTGTTGTTTCTCTGGGTATCCATTCAGTTATTCTTCCAGTCCATGTGTTGTTCTTACCACATGCCATGCCCATCTCCAAATTTTGTTGGTTTATGCTTATCAACTACAAACGTGGTGAAATTCTTCCAGTGGATTTGGAACCCATTAAGTTTGAAGACTTACTATCTTGATTGATTTTATATTTTCTGTTTAATGTGTCAATTTTATTTTATTTTTTTTTTCATTTTGTTTAATTACTGTTTTCATTTAAATTATTATTTTTTTTTTTCATTTTTCTATTATAATATAAATAATTTGTTTACGTTAAAGGTATACTGAGGATCCCAATTGGTCATTCTGGTGGTTAATTTTGCAGAACACTGGGAGACATTCCTTATTTTCTTAAAAGTGATCTGTGTTTTTAATATTGTCATACAGTTGTAGTAAACTATTTTATAAAATACAGTACAGAATTAATTAAATGTATTGTAAAAAAATACATTTCTAACTATTTACTCACCAGATCTGATTTCATGTTTTTGTCTCCATTCAAATTTAGGGACACCTAAACACTTACCGCTTTTGTGATAATGTATGGACATTCGTACTGGATGATGTTGAGTTTCGAGAAGGCACAGATGTCGTTAAAGTGGACAAAGTGAAAATTGTTGCAGTTGATGGAAAAAATTCACAAACAACTGATTGAAGTAGAAGGTGCAGGATTTTAAAGAGAAATCTTGTGTATTGACAAACATTTTTCAAGTGCTGTCATTATTAGTAGAGTAAAATACTGTACTTTAATAATGGTGTAGAAAAAGTCTTGAATCTTCTGCTCCTCCTTAGAGTGGGGCTAGGAATAAATCATATCTGAGTTTAAGATATTTTTGAAATACTTGGTATACCGACATCAGAGGAACAACCATGGTGTATTTCACCAACATGAAGTTTACATTTATTGCTTAGAAAATGTGTTTTTTAAGAGTAGGGATGACCGTTTCTATCTGCTAAAAAAAAAAAAAACTAATCAAGCACAATAATTTACAGCAACATCATTCTATTTTTAAAACCATATTTATAGAGAATGATCCTTCCTGTTTATCCTAGAAGGCTGGTTAATATTCAGGGTTCCTTAAATGAAATATTGTGATGCTTTTATATAAAGGAAAAAAATCCTGTGCCACTATCAGATTTAAAAGCAGGACCCTGGTATTGGAGGGAAAACATCTTAACCACTAAAACCCCGCACTCCTTGCATCATACGAACATCAGCCGACGATTCCAACTTTGTGAGCATTGGATGGATCGTCATTCAGGAGGGGGAAAAGGGTCCCCACTTGGTTAGGGAAAAATCAAATCTCCAGTGCTATCATTATGTGCGAGGTGTTGTATACTATTGCAATCATATGGGTTGCCCCGAAAGAGGGGGGAGGGGCAGGGGGTTAGTACCCCAGACAGGTGAACTGGTACCCCGGACATCCTTTTAAATAATCAATTAATTAACACAAAATTTTTATTAACTTTTAATTTAAAAAAAATTCACCAACAAATTTAGTTTTTCCCCAACTGGAGCTTGGACACTCTCAGCATTAAAAACGATCTGTTGCACGCACATCGTTGCATCTGGCAGGGAAGTAAGTGCCCGGCTTATAGAACCTCAGAAGAGAATAAAGTATTGTAGAGACAAACATTCATTAATGGAACATAGAAAATACTACAAACTTATTTGCAACCTCAGAACACAATGTTTGAGCATGGAGTGGGGAGTCTACAATAAACATAAAGATACTTGAATGTAAAACGTTTAATCTTTTTTTTTTTTTTAATTATCATTTACTGATAATTTATAATTGTCATCTACCTTCAGTACAAAAATAAGTTAATATCAATTTACAAAATGTTACATACACTGTTAATATTTGTCGTCTTGTCTGTGTGTCCTTTGTGTACCAAGAGATATGTAAAGCTTTCTTAAGGACCTCTTCAGGGCCCTTTAATTAGCTGGGGTTGCTGGTAGGGAAAATTTGACCTTTGTAAGGGTATACTTTTAAAGATTTTGATATACATGATTTATAAAAATATATTGCAAAAGTCTATCACCATTTGGCTTAAATAAGGGCCTAATTTGGTTTGAAATAGGTTGTTAAGGTCACACTAAAAAAACTTAACAATGTTCAGGACATCCGGCCGCGAGTCATTTACAGTTCTTAGGCATTATGCCAATGGTCTGCTGAGCTAAAGAAATATATACATACATTATTATTGTAAAAGTACCCTGATATATTATGGCTTATACAGTATTCCATATTTCTTGTAAAAAGTCAGAAAATCATCACTATTTATTTTCATTCCATGCAGCATTGGAATTTAGTAGCTAATTTGATATTTTAAATGAACTATTCAATTTTGTAATTGAATTGCAAAATTTGCAAGTGTTAAGCAAACAGTATTTTTTAGCATACTATCCCTTCCGCAACTCATTTTATGTGGGATAACAGATGTACTGTAATGTGAAGCGTATAAAAGCCACAACATATTACCCCAGTACTGTATAATATAATACAACTTCATTACTTCAAGTTTATTATTATTGAGATCATGAGAAACACTATACAGTATGCTAATAAATATACAATAATTTGAACATGTGAATTAGTTCAAACCAAATGGTCAAAAGATAAATTAATAAAAATGCAGACAATCGAGTATTAAATATTGAGGTTATCAATAGTATTTAGTTTTGAAAAATAATTTGTGTGGGGTTCAGGGGTGGAAGTCCAAGTGCCTTTTATCTTTGAGAATTGCAAGCTTTTCTGAGACTTTAAAACCTAAAGTATTACAGTATGCCCAAAAAAATTTCTAGGGTCGGCCTGTCCCACTGGGAGCTTAAGCTAGGAAATTTGCCATCCCCCACTTCCTTTGAGGGACATTGGACAAAATCAGCAAAATCCAGGCACCATTACTGCCTTCTAGGTTACATAACCATTTACACTCCACCTGGCCTTGGACTCGACCTCATGACCTGTCGATTTGTCCAAAGGCTTTGCTGATATACCACATCCTTCAACACAAATACTGTTCTGATGCAAGCAGGAACAATCAAAATTCTATGCTTAAGGCAACTTCCACAAGGAAATATCAGAGCAATACTGTATTATCAAGGTCTTTACACTTACAGTAGCCATCCTCACTGCTACAGTACTTTACTTCAGAAATACACATGTAATAATATTTTAACATTTATATAGCGCTCTTTACAGGAGTCTCACAGCGCTTAAAAAGTATGAGCATGGGAAGGAGTATACAGAGTTGAAAGTTCCCGATGGAGCACTATTAGGTAGGCACTTAGAGTTAGGATCTTGAAAGTGATGCGTTTATGAACTGGTAACCAGTGAAGCCTTGCGAGTAAGGGTGTGACATGGTCATATTATTTCCTCACTTGGAACATGAGTTTTGTCACCCTGTTCTGAATAAGCTGGAGACAATTTCTTTCCTTATCAGATGAATCATGAAGTAGTGAATTCAGTAATACAGACTGTATGTAATTTCTGATTTGGGAGATATTTCTGAGGTTGTAATTGAGTGATTTACATAAAGATGAAATTTGTTCTGACATTGTGCACTCCCCATCAAAGAAAACCTTGAAGCTTCTAATAGACTGATTGTTTACTGTTAGCAATTTGCAAGGAAATGTTATGTAATTTGTGCTCTTATTATGGCGTTAAGCAGCAATAAGGAATTCTGTTATATCTTCATTTAAGCATGGCATGTATTTTTCAATCAAAAAATCTTAGTCACCAGATTATTAGCATTAACCATGACTGCTTCAAATATACTAAATATTAAAAACTGGTTTTCAATAGTCTGGGACAACAAATTCATTCTTTGTGGCATTAACCGCAGCTTCAAAAGGAATAAAACAATACAGTACTGTACCACCTTTAAAAGGAAGCATGTTGTCAGACCAGTAAAGAGTTTCTTTTACTATTGCTGCTTCAACAATACCAGCTGGTTTCCTCTGAATGCATGGCCCACAAATAGTGTTTGCCAAGATGTCGTTCCACTAATCATGCATTATTCAATCCTGACCCATGCTCTTCCAGAGTGCCATTAGGTTTTGAGAACTTCCGCCTTCCTCATCCTCCTCCTCGTCTTCATCTTCTTCCTCTGAAAATTCCTCGTCCGGTATGAGAGATGAACTCAAACAGGACAAAGGTTCTTTATTTACTGCCAGTTCCCCTGCTGCCGGTGTGTCAATTGAACTCTGAAATGAGGTCAAATGTCAAATGTTTTATTTTGGCACAGTACAGTACATTAGTAAAGTACTGAATGAACCAAATGAAAAACAACACGTGAAATTAATGAAATAAAGTACAGAAGTATCAGTGGCAAATTTTCTATCTCATGGGCATAGGCTGGAGAAGGATGGGAGTGGTGCCCACACCCTCCCCCTTAACCCTTTCCTCATGGCGGTAAATAAGTTCCACCAAGCAAGTTAAACTACTAAAAGTGATCGTTAAGTTTGCATCGGAATGGGATTTCGGCATTCTCAATTTCACCACCCCCACCCTACCCCAATGTTGAGTGGAAGGGGACACCTGGATCCACCACTGATTATATAAAGTGAACAGATCAATAATATATAAAAATAATATATATATCAATAATATAAAAATTAAATTGCTTACTTTTTTGCAGTAACAATAACATAATGAATGATATAATTGAATGGGGGAAAAAAACACTTATTTAAGATTATTTGTTAAACATGACAAAAATTCAAAAAAAATAATTTTGGAAATTAAAGTGCTTACTTTTTTGCAGTAACAATAACATACAAATTATTAACTTAAGCATAGAATCAAATTTTAAAAATCTGTACTCTGACTGGAAAGTAATAAAATAAAAGCTAAAGTTGATAATTTTTATGTTACTTCAATCAAAATAAGCAATTGCAATTTTCAGTGAAAAAATGTTAATATTATTTGTGTATGCAATTCTCTGTGACAGGTCACCAATTTAATTTATTTACTTACTTTGTTAGTCCCTTGTGATAACCTAGCAACACGTTGGGTAATTGAATTCAAGCTTGGAATGATCTCCTTGGTAATCGATTTGAAGCAGAATGAAATTAAAAAAAATATGAAAATGTTAATTGTCTACTGGTCAACTTTTCATAGTTTTACTTTGTAAGTCTTGCCATTCTGAATACTGAGCAAGCATTTTCAGTATAGCATATGTAGGAGTCTTGGAACGG